TAGGAATACTGATGTGGCCAGGAATGCCTGTGTGCATGCCTGTAACTCCATTACTCAGCAGGCGTGAGGCAGGAGGATCCCTTAGTTCTAGATCAGCCTAGGCTGTATACTGAGTTCAAGACCAGACCAAAGTATGTGTCTCAAACAACTAACCAATACAAAAACCAAACCAATACAAAAACCTGATGTGAAAATTCAAGATCAAAGTTTTTCTGTTTCTCTGGACTATCATGTTTAATCAAAATGTTGATTCCTTAACTCTTTTAACAATACAATCATCACAGCAACGTATTAATACAATTATACATAGACTTGCATACTGTATGTATCCTTTTCTAAGAAGCTTACATGAAGAATTCTGAGAACAGCCTTTCAAATACATTAAGAATGCTAGTAATAAAACTTCATAATATTCATAATAAAGACTAGCACGCTGTTACAACAGTACTTATTATATAATGAAATTAAACATACATCTTAAATGACTATAATTACTATTGTCAATCTTTTTCTTAGCTATAAAAACCTAAATAAATTTTTTAATGTAAATTGTGGAAATGCTTATAAGTTATGACTAAAACAATTCCAATGAACTAAGAGAAACTAGCTATATAATGATCTTAACTATCTTGTATATAAATATATTTTCTTTCTTTCTCTCTTTTTTTTTTGACGGAACCGGGGATTGAACTCAGGCTCTTGTGCTTGCCAGGGAAGCACTTACTCCACTGAGCCATCTCCCCAGCCCCAATATATTTTCTTTTTGCCTTTCCTACATGAGTTTGTCTTTTCTTTTGAACAGGTTCTTTACAGTTCATTATGTCTATTGTACATATTAGATCTTATTTATTTGTTCAGTTTCTCACAGTGAGATAATACGATGTTAATACATATGGGTCTGATTTATTTTACTTATGAGTATGGTCTTGAGTTGCATCCATTTACTTATAAAAGTCTCCAATTTATCTTTCTTTATGGCTGAGTTATATATCTATATCTCTATATCTCTCACATCTTTTTGATCCATTCCTTGGTTGATGGGCATCTAGGCTGTTTCCAAGATTTAGCTATCACAAATTGTGCTGCTATAAACACTGGTGCCTGTATATCACTGTGGTATGATGTTTTTAATTCTTCTGGGCAGATACCCACAGGAATTGCTGTGTCCAATGGGAACTTTAATCCTACTTTTTAAAGGAATCTCCACACTGATTTCCACAATGATTGTATCATCCTACACTTCCATCAACAGCGGAGAAGGATTTCTTTTGCCCCAAAGTCCTGCCAGTATTTGTTATTGGTTGCTTTTATGACTGCCATTCTTTCTGGGGTGAGATGGAATCTCAGTGTTGTTTTAATTTACATTTCTTGAATGACCAGTGATGTTGAACATTTTTCATGTATTTATTTGCTGTTTGTACTTCATCTGAGAAGTATTCATCTCAGATGCCCAGTTTTGGATTGGGTATTTGAATCTGGGAGGTGTGAGTTTTTCTGTTCTTTATATGTCCTTTGTCTGAGGGATGACTGTCTATACTTTTTCCCACATTATGGGTCGTCTTTTCACTCTGTTGGTGATTTCTTTTGTTGTGTAAAAGTTTTTTGATAAGGTTAGATCACATTTGTTGATTCTTTGTAATATTTCCCTTGCAGTCTGGGTTTTGTTCATAAAATCTCTACCTATATCTCTATCTTTGAGATTTCTACTTATTTATTCTTCCAGTAAATTTAATTTTTCTATTTTCGTATTTAGATATTTGATCCATTTCAAAGAGGGTATCAGAAAATGGAAAGATATCTGTTGCTGTTGATTAGGAAGAATCAACAGTGTGAAAATGGCCAAATTCCCAAAACTGTTATACAGATTTATGATTACTCCTTTTTTTTTTTTGTATTTAGGACAGGGTATACAGGGTATACAAGGTCTCACTGCATAGATTGAACTCATAGTGATCTTCCTGTTTACAGTTTCCCAAGTGCTGGGATTACAGGTGTGCGTCACCACACCCAGTCTCAATCAATGGCTCAGCACATCACAGGGGCACGGCCTGCTTGGCAGCCTAGGGAATCAAACTCCCAGCCCCTGCATCTGCCTAAGCAGGCACTTTGGTCAGCTGAGCTATTTGGCTGGCCCTTGTTATACAGACTTAATGCAATCCCAATCAAAATACCATTAGCATCCCTTACAGAAAAAACACTCTTAAAATTCATTTGGAACCAAGAAAGATCTAGAACAGCAAAAGCAATTCTGGGCAAGAAAGGCTAGTCAGGAGGCTAAAACCCCAGACTTGAAATTATACTATAAAGATACTGTGATAAAATTGGCCTGATACTGGCAAAATAAACAAACAAGCCTAAGGAGTAGTGGAACAGAAAAGAAGATGTAGGTGCAACCCCTGCATCTCAGCCAACTTATCTTTGACAAAGGAGTCAAATAAGCTCACTAGAAGAAAGTCTCTTTAATAAACGGTGCTGAAAAAAAATTGGCTTTCCATATTCCGAAGACTAAAACTAGACCAATGTCTAGCACCATGACTAAACTATATTTACTCTTAATGGTAATAAACTATAATAATATGGGGACGGTTACTGTTCTATAAATAGGCATTTTCCCCTTCACACATATCTCTCTGCTTGTTTCTTTTTAAGTTTCGGTTGGTTAATTAGTGTATGTGTCTTTGTTTATTTAAGGTCTTTTTTTTACTACAAGGCTATTTCAATGCTGGCCCTTATAGCTACTTTTTATTTCCTCAGAGACAGCTTCATTTTCTAAAAAGGTAACTATGAACTGTACATGGGAGGAATGAGGAGTATAACATATAATCATATCATAGAATTAGTTTTCACATGATACATTTTAATTTTATCCCTAACTCTGATATTTATGATAAAGGAGCAATAAAAGGACAAAGTTATAGACAAAAGAGGCTACCATTTGAGCTACAGATTCTCTCCAGGGCAGAAATGTGAAAAGCTCAAGGGGACTTTCTGAGAAATGAGGAAATAATACAAAAAATACTACAGGAGAAGACAGAAAATCTTAGAATGTGATGGCCAAAGCACAAGGAAATTCAGTCAGAATCAAAAGATACAGGATGGAAAAGGATTGGAAGGAGGGCCTATGGTAAAAGTCAAAATTATGAGAAAACAAGGTTTTACAAAGAACAAACTAGAAGTACCATTTACACTAAAAGATTTTAAGAGAAGCCAAAGGGCCTTAGCTGAAAAGGAGTTTAGTTGCCCAGGGTGCAAAAGAGATAATGACTAGGAAAAAGGTTAGATCCAGCTACAGGGGTGAAGAATTGATGACAGAGAAGGCAAATAACAAAAAGAGTCAAATGTTTATTGCAATGACCTCAAGACTGTACATATGAAACAAGTAATATGCCTAAGATGTGTACAGTTTATTTCTTAAATTCAGTTATTTTTTATGGATCACTAACTCTTGAAATAAGGGTTCCTTACATTATACCCAAACCTAGGGAAGTCAGTGCATACAAGGACTAGCAAAGCTTTCAATGTTTGGTGCAACATACATGCTTCTACAAAAACAAACACTCACTGTTTTTATATGGAATAAGCACAATAATTTTTAATAGAAACTTTTGTTAATTATTTAATTTTCCATTTTTTAATTTTACTGCTTGCTATACATTTTGGAGATGAGGCAATTGTTCAATGCAAAAAAGGTAGGGTATAAAATATCCTTAGTAAGAAGCTATTAATGAAGACAATCCTTCTAGTCACTGAATTAGAAAGCAAGATTCTGAGATTACTGCTTGGCCCAGGCCTCTGACTTGTCAATGAAGTTACTTCCCTTTTACTACAATGAATTGCAGAAGTACAGTTAAGCAGTTGTCTATGAGGGTTTATTAGCAGACATATGATATGGTGGGTGAGCAGAGATGTAGTATTTTCTATGCGAGTGACCAAAATATTTACACATCTCATAAAATAGAAAGAACTTTCTAAAAAATTAATAAGATCTGTTTCACAAATTACCAACTCAAATGGAACACTTGAAATAATAGAAATGACAAAAGATTTGTTCTTACAGCTGATAAAAAATTTATATCAGGGCATCAAGTAAAGTTATTTTCTGTGTTCTGATTTAATGAATCATGTGAGTTGTATCTGGTTGGATGACACAGATTCTGGTTCACTGAAGCTTACTCTAATGCCTTCCAGCATGACCTTCCTTGGGACAGTGAAGCTAGAGTAATGTGTCAGACTAAAGTAATATCAAAGAAAGAGAAAGCAGGGCTTGAGATGCTATGAGGTTGACTCATAACACTTCATGACCTGTGAGAATCCAGTAAGTATTCAATGTCCTATGGGCTTCAATGACCTAACAAGCACCGGGCAACAACAGTAATGCAATAATGAATGGTTCTCAAAAGATTTTTACAATTCAACCTGAAAAACACTAGATTTATTAAATGGTTTTAACTCTACTGAAAAAATAACTTTAGAAATCACTAGTGGTTTCCTAAAATGCGAATGAGTGTTAAATGTTTTATATATGCTTATGTGGTACTCATTTTAGTTCAAATATGTTAAAGTGAACATTAATTTAGAAAATAATACTTTTCTGATGATGTACCAGAGAGAAAATATGTTAATGAAAAATTAAGCACTTGGTGCACAAAAATACAAATATAAGATAATGAGCACACTCACTGTTAATAAAATAGACTACTAAAAATGAAATTAAAGGAGTATTCTGTAAATATCCCACATGGAGATATTCTTCTCTTTCAAAAGACAACACATATTATTGTGAAGAAATGGATCCTCAAAAGTAATGATAGGAATATAAAGGTAAAGATTATAGCCTATCAGAGCACAGTGTATTACTTTAAATGAAAATTATTTTATCACATAAGAAAGGAAAATAATAAAGGCATAATATTATTCTAATCTAGTCATAAATAACTTTGTTTTTCCTTAACCAAAACTCATAGTTAGTATGTAGAGTCAAAATCTGAAAAAGTACTTACAATGACAGCAATACCATTGCAATTAAAGTCCACTCCACAGGATTGTGTATAATATTTCTGTTTGTTAATCTGAAAGATAGTAAGATAAAATTCACTCATGGATTTTTTTACATTTAAATAAGTAAATCTTTTATTTTTGGATAAAATCAACTTATATTTTATACGAAGTACTTTAAAAATATCTATTATATTTGATTACAGAAGGTAGTATACAAATGTGGCTCTTTTTTCCTCTGATAATAACCATCTCAATGTAGTCTAGGCTGGGGAGATAGCTTAGCAGCTTAAGTGCCTGCCTGGCAAGCAAAAGGTCCTGAGTTCGATCCCCAGTACAAAACAACAACAACAACAAGATCAAGAAAGTAGTCTAACCTCACTTTTATATACAATATTTACAACAGTACCATTAGACAAGAGGGAAATATAGGTACAATGAGGGAAACTAAATTGCACAGCTTATTACAATACATAACACACGTACACACTGTAACAATATCCTCTATGCTTTCTCTTGATGCTAAGGAATTTCTGATTTTATCTTTTGTGTCTTTCTAATTAGGGTGGCATCAGAGAATTGCAGGATGTCATAAACCACAATTTACAAAAATGAGAGTTAGGGCCAGGGAGACAGCTCAGCAGTATAAGTGCCTGCCTGGCAAGCACAAGGTCCTGAGTTCAATCCCTGTTAAGGAGAGTTAGCTTAAGAAATTATAACAATAGTCTTTATTATGGTTTGTATCTTGATGTTTCCCCACTTCCAGAGCCTCATGCAGCCACATAGGGGCTTTTCAGAGGTGGCTAGATCTAGGGTGTGTGATTACTAACTCAGCCCACTTAGTGTTTTGGCATAGTTCTGGGTGTGGATAATGAGAAACCCACCCTGGGCATGGGTGGCACTACCTAAAAGGCAGGTAGCCTAGGTGGATATAAAGGGATAAAAAGAAGGCAGCTGGCTTTTTACTATTTTATCACTTTGCTGCCTTCTGCCTGCATAAGAATGATTCTCCTCTGTCATGTCCCACTCTTATGCTATCCTGCTATGGAGAGTACAACCAACCATGAACTGAAACCTACAAACTGAACTACAATAAACCTTTTCTCCTTTAACTTTGGGCGTGGTTTATTTTCTTTCAGCAACGAGGAAAGTAATAGTTTTTATTCATGAAAGCTTAAGTTTCAGAAAGTCTTAAGCAAATTCTGTCACTTAACCATTGATGATACAAAATACTATAAACATCTTAGTTTCTCTTAAAGTGTCTAAAAGGGCTGGCCCAATAGCTCAGTGGACTAAAGCACCTGCTTAGGCAGAGCACAGTGGCCAGGGTTTGATTTCCTGCGTGCCCCTCCCCCCATGTGTGGGCACTGAGATGGCGATTGAGATTGGGTGAGGTGTACCGCGCCAGTAATCCCAGTGCTTGGGAGGCTGAAAACAGGAGAATCACCAAGAGTCCGATCTATGTAGTGAGACGCTATAAACCCTGTACTAAATGCATTAAAAAAAAAAGTTTAAAAACATTCTTTTGAATCATAGTGTGATGGGGACAGGAAGAAATAGTATCTTTAATATCCTGTTGATGAGAGCAATAAAACCACAACTTGAAAATATCTAGCAAGCTGAAAAATACATTGGAATAGCCCAGCAGTTTCATCATGCCCTCAAAAACAGATCCTCCTACGGACATCTGCATCTTGGTACCAGTCAATAGCTATCCTATGCTTTCAGAATCCAGCTGCTCAATCAAAAAAAATCTTATGGTTCAGTTTGACTTTTTATATCCCATATTCAGTCATCAAATCATGACGGTTCTATCTTCAAATCACAACCTGAGTTTTTAAAAAAATGTATTTGGTACAGGGTTGCACTACACAGCTCAGACTCACAGTGATCCTCCTGTTTTCAGCCTCCCCAGCACTGGGGTTACAGGTGTGCACCACCATGCCTGGTCTCGGCATTCCTGTCACTTAACCATTGATGATATAAAATACTATAAACATCTTAGTTTCTCAAAAAGTATTTAAAAGCTCTGGCCTGCTGTGCTCTGCCTAAGAAGGCACTTTAGTACGCTGAGCTATCTGGCTGGCTGGAGGATTTTTTTTTTTTCATTGCTAAATTCTTACTATTTCTGTTGCTTTCTCTCTTTTTGGTTCATATCTTTCTTGCCTAGATTACCTAAAGAGCTGCTTAACTGGTCTCCCTGACTCTGTCTATCTGCTGTAATTCTTAATAACTCAGAAGCTAGAATGATACTGTTTTAAAAAAAGCTGTGATAACAATTATTTTGATTGGAATGTATCAATTGTTTTCAAACTTTCCAAGTGTAAGATAAAAGCACTGTAATGCCTATATATGACCTATAAACCTTTGTCTCATACTTCTCTTACCGTATCTTCTCTACTCTTGCTTTCTATTTCTCCCAGCTTATTAGCATCTTAAATATTCTGTTCCCATCCATGGCCCAACCTTCTTTCCAAGCTTTTTGTACCTGCTATTCCCTCTGATCTATTTTCACAGACAGCAACAGCTTCCTCCCTTACTTTTTATTAGATCTTTACATAAATAGCTTTCTCAATGAAGGCAAGGACTTCCTTAAGCTGTTTCTTTCTTTTTCTGAGACAAGTTATTGCTATGCAGGCTCAAACTCCTGGCAATCCTCCTGCCTCGGCTTCCCAAATGCTGGGATTATAGACCTATGCCAGCATGTCCAACCTAAGCAGTCTCTTAAAAATTGTAACTTTCTCCTTTCTCAGTACCATTCCATTCCCCTACTTCCAGGAAGAAAATTAGAATGAACTAGAAAATTATTATTAAATAATATGATGTACGTTACATTTATTAATTGGCAGGGTTTTTTGGTGGTACCAGAGATTGAACTCAGGACTTTGTGCTTACCAAGCAAGTACTTATTCCACGGAGCTATCTCCTGGTCCCAACACATGTTACATTTAAAAAGATACCCCCCTTAGTAAAATATAAGTTCCATGACAGAAGAAATTCTGCTTTATCTACAGCAATTAAAACAGAATCTAGCATATAAGCAAAACAGTTTCAAGATTTAAAAAAAATTTAAAAATCAGTTAAACAGAATTTTCTTTTGTAAGGCCAGTCATAGTGGCACACACCCGTGATCCCAGCACTTGAGAGACTGAGAGCTGCCTCAAGTTTGTTTGTTTATCTATTTATTGTATTTTAGGGAAGGGTCTACAGGGTGTTCAGGGTCTCACTAGTAGATCAGACTAGTAGTGATCCGCCTGCTTACAGCCTCCCAAGAGCGTGCCACCATGCCCAGTCTCAACTGCCATCTCAGTGTGCCCTGGTGGCAGGGCTGGCTCAGCAGCCAGGGCATCAAACCCTCGGCCACTGAGCCTGTTTGCTGGTGCTTTAATATGCTGAGCTATTTGGCTGGTCCTGCCTCAAGTTTAAGAGTCCAAAACCAGCCTAAATTATGAGTAAGACTCTGTCACAAAAAACCCAAGCCCTTCCTTATGCCAAACAAAAAAAGAAAATGAAAAATAGCTTCCTTTTGTATGCAAATCTCCTAAAGTTAACACAGATTTAAGAATTTGTTTACTCATTCAACAAAAAATGTACTGCGTGCCTACTCACTGGTCCAGGTTTTGTCCAGGCACTGGGGAAATACAAAGGAGAGGTGGTTTTTTTTTTTTTTTTTTTTTTTTGCAGTTTAAGATTATTTTATTGAGGAATGAAAGGCGGGGAGAGGAGCGGGGACGACTACTGCCCCCCTAACCTGACCCCACCAGGGGAACAGACCCCTCCCTGCCTCCCATGGCCCGCATGGCTCTCCCTGTGCTATGGAGGACTTGTGCAAACTCTGCCCCCAGGGGGAGGGAAGCGGGGAGGTGGAGGGTGGGAGTGAAGTGGCAGCAGCCAGGCAGCGGTGCTACTGGGCACTGGGGGGCTTGTAGGGCTCCAGCAGGAGGGCGGAGAAGGTGTTGACCTTGTCTGCTCCCCACACCTCATGGGGTAGCAGCGGCAGCTTCATGATGTGGAAATCTTGGTACAGGTCCTCCATCTGGTCCAGGTACTTGGCCTGGATCTTGTGGCGGGCTTCACACATCTTGCAGGGCCTCTCAGGGTCGGGGAAGACAAGCTGGTTGACGATGATGTTGTGGGTATCAATCTTGCACTTGGCCAGCTCCTGGATCAGACCTCCGTCTTGTACAGGAACAGGAACTCGGCAATGCACACGCAGATAAATGTTGTCTGCTCAGGGTCCTTGAACTGCTCACTGACGGAGCGGATGACGGGCAGCGTCTCCTCCAGCTTGGACGTCAGCTGGTCAGCGTTCATGTCGCCCAAGCCCAGCATATTGCACATCTGTGCGATGAAAGGGCTGATCTGGTTCTTGATCTGCATGAGGCAGCCCAGGCCCCGCTCCATGATGGTGGGGAAGTTGAGGAGCCTGAGCGTGTGGCCCATGGGTGCCGTGTTGAACACCACCACTGAGAAGTTCATGCTCTTCACCAGCCTCATGACCTCTGCGTAGCTCATGGCCTCGATGCCCGGGAAGGCACTCATGGCCTCCTGCATCATCAACATGCTCAGCATGTTGTCCTCAAAAAACTCATCAGGCAGCTCAGCTACACCCAGGCTGGGGTCGATCTCCATAGCGAAGAGGTTGTCGTAGCCTTTAACCTTGGTTGGCACCTTGGAAAACTTTTGGTCAAAAGCATCTGAGATGTTGTGGGCTGGGTCTGTGGAAATGATCAGAACACTCTCACACCCCTTGGAGAGCTGGACTGCCAGGCTGCAGCTGCAGGTGGTCTTTCCCACGCTGCCCTTGCCCCCGACAAAAATCCACTTGAGGCTGCGCTGCTCAATGATGTTGCTAAGCGTGGGCTCCAGCGGCTCCACATCAGGTGCATCCTCGAACTCGTCTGCCTCAACCCCCTACCCGGCCACCCCTGCTGCCATCTTGGAGCCGGCAAAAGGAGAGGTTTCGATTTCTCTTAAAAGTACTTTCAGCAGAATGGCAAAATTTTTTCATATTTTTTCTTTTGGTGAACCCAAATAATGTGTTTGATAATTAAAAAACAATAGTAATGTACAT